CCCAGGAGTTTGAGGTTGCTGTGAGCTTGGGCTGACACCCCGGCACTCAAGCCCGGGCAACAAAGTGAGACTCTGACTCAAAACAAACAAACAAACAAAAAAACCTTATGAAACATTATATTTAGTAAAGAATATGAAATAAGTGTATTTTAGAGAATAATAACCACTGAATTCAGGATAATAGTGGGTTATCTGGGTCTGGGGTTGGGAGGAAAAGAATGAAATCAATACACAAAGGGCTTTAACTTTATGTTTCTTACAACACAGGACATATGGTACAAAAGCATTGAAATTAAGGGCAAGGACTCTGGACCTGGTTCAAACTCAGGTTCCACCATTTCCTAGTTATGAGATTGGCAAGTTATATAACAAACGTCTTGTTTTCTTGATTTGTTTCGTTTCTAAAATTGCAGTAATACTGACTTATCTTGTTAGGTATATTGTGAGGATTCAGCAAACCAACAAAGATGTAAAGGATGGTTTAGACTAGTTCCTGGCACATAGTAAATGCTCATATTAGCTTCTGTTATTATCACCATCATTATTCACAACCTGGGGATAGGTACATAGATTTTTTTTTTGGATTTGGAAGGGTCTAAAATGCAATTTTTAATGGTTTATGTTATTTTAAAAAATTGTTATTCTCTTCTTAACCTAATGGTTTCATGACTTAATAATGTAAAAAGTGACAAAAATGTACTGTTCTTTTCTCAAGGAATTTCGTTTATTTATTTATTGTAAAATTTGCCATCAAACAATTTTATTTTTAAACTAAAGTGTCAGGTCAAACATTTTGCCTTCTCATTGTCCTTGAATGGGTTAAAGCAATTGTACTTAAATGTAGATTTACTATATATAAAAAATATAAACATTTTGTGTGTTTTCGGAAGTGAGTATAAAATAGATGGTTATATTCTTTAGGACTTTGCTATTTCTGTTTTATTAAAATAGTCATTAATAACTGAGACAGTTAGATTTCCCAGAATCCTAGATTCAGATTACCTTTTTAAACTCTTACTATTTACAGTATTGATATTTGGAACAACCTTATGTATAGTTAAAATAAGTCTTAATGCAAGATTCTTTATTCTGTTTTCTAAAGTAGTATGTATAATCATCCAGAGTATAAAGAGAATCATTAGTGACTAGAAATGTATTGTTTAGTCCAAAAATTTTATGTATCAAATGAAGCAACTATAATCTTATCTTGCAGTAATAGTTATTCTTAACATTTTAGCTTATTTCTACACAGGGTGTTCAGTATACATGTTATCACATATAGTATGTATTGTGAAAAGGTTTTTGATGAAACTTACCATTTTGTGACCTGGCCTTTTTTGTGCTTAATATAGTATGATCATCTATCCAAATTACATTTTTAGTGGTGGTTTAATATTTCTTTGTATGGCTATAGTATGATTAAATCTGCCCTCCTAACAGATTATTTCCAAATCGCGTTAGTGAAGTAGCACTTTTTTGTTTTTTTTTTGTTTTTTTTTTTTTTTAATTTTTCCTTCCCCCTACCCACTTTCTTGTTTTTTTAAGTAACAAATATCTAGGAGTCTAGATTCATGAATGATTTCTTTGGACTCTGATTAATAGCTTCCTTGTAATAACTGCTATTTGCAAAGGACTATACTGGCCCTTTTCTATATTTAATAGTCCAGCAACCCATAGGTATTATCTCTAATGGGAGAAACTCGAATACTAAGAAACTTGCCCAAGGTCATGTAGTATGAGCTGGGAATTGAACCTAGGTTTGACTGTAAAGTATATGTGTTTGTTTCTCTTTGTAGTATGCTTCATCTTATTTATTATTAAAAATTTTGACAGAATGTTTATGATTATTTGACTTTGAGATCTCTTGCTACCAAAGTTGATATAGATAACAGAGAGAAGCAAAGCAGTTGATTGCTGTTTTGTGTTTAGACCTACTAGTTAAAACTTAGGTTATCCGCAACGGTGGCCTGTTATCTTAACAGGTGTTTGGTCACCTGGTCAGGCAGGTAACTGTGTAGAATTGAATATAATTTACTTACTGAATAAATCCTCATGTCTGGTGGAGAGCATCATTGAATAAGAGAGATAGTCATTGAGAATATTATTATAGATACTTTTGTTTCACAACTGACTTCATAAGCAAATGACATTACTCTTTCCTCCTTTCCCTTCTGCCAAATCTCATTCAGTTTTGATGTACGTGCATTAGGTGGTATCTCTAGTGCTAAGTCAAAGATTAGGGTATCTTGTCGTTTGGGGAACTGGAGCGCAGAGCACGTACACACATAGAATGAGTTTTTGTCAACAGTGTAAATTATTTTCATTAAAATGTTTCTGTAGGTAAGTCAACACTAAGGCTAAACATATTCTGAAAAAACAATGAAACCGAAGGAATCAGTGTAATATTATAGTAGTATTGAATAGCAAAAATTAAAACTTTGTCACTATAGAAATCAACTTTAATCTCATAAAACCATTCATAGTTTTTTGTTTGTTTTCCTGTATTATCTGTTTTGGAGTGCTTTGATTTTTTTGGAGGAGGACCGACATTAGGATTTATATGTGGGTATTAGGTTTAGTTTTCAGAAAATTATTTCTGCTTTAATTTTCACAGGATAATTTACGCTGTTAAGTGTACTGTCTTAAAATCCTAAATTGCTGTTAGAGTGCTAGAAATCTCTTGCTTTTGAGAGAGGCTCATTTTATTGACAAATAGTAAGGAATGGCTATAAATTATACTTCATAACTTTTTGAAATTTCATAATTTTTATATTCATTGTAGGATAATTAGAAATCTGTAAACATCCTTTTAATCCCACTAGCCAGAGAGAGTCATTGTTAGTATCATGTTTATTGTTAAGACTGTTTTCCTCATATATATGTGTATATATATTTATAGTCCTCTGATTCAAGATACACGTCTTCATATTACATTGCTTTTTAATTTTTGTTGTATCTTATAGTCAGTGTGTATGTTTAACGTAGCATTCCTTTCTCATTTTTTCTCCCACATAAGAGCTGTAGTTTTGTTGAAGCCTCCTTAGAAGTCAGGACATGTGTGACGTCCCAGGTCTTTGCCTTTTACAGTCAGCATGGCAGTTCTGATATTCATAAACTTAGTGATTTGTGTTTTTTACTAGAAATCATATTATTAGTTAAGTAGAAGTTTTTCATGTTTCAAAGATCTGAATGAAATAAAGATATATTTGATTGAATATTTTATTAATTGCAGCATTCAACAGAAGGTGTCAGATTAACAGCTCTGAATGACAGCAGCCTTGACTTGTCTATGGACAGTGATAACAGCATGTCTGTGCCTTCACCTACTAGTGCTATGAAGACCAGTCCATTGAACAGTTCTGGCAGCTCTCAGGGGTAAGGATAAGAAGGGGTAAGAAGGGGTAAGAAGAGGGAAACGGAAGAGGAGTGGCTGTATGCCAAACCCATTAGCTGTATTCTCTTGTTGCTGTTAGAATGTCATTTTTATTCCAACTTCTAATTTTTTAAAAACATAGCAATTTAATTTCTATTTTGGGGCAGTACTTTTTAGTTTCTCCTAATGTGTCATAGTTTTATTTTGGGGACTCATATGTCTTGATTCAGATATGAATGAATGTTAGTGCTGTAACTTCTCCAAATTTATGTATTTAGACACCTACTGCTACAGTGAACTGCATGGTGTACTAAGGAGAATAGACAAAAGGGACAAAACCACTTTTTTGTCCTAGAATTGCTTATACCTGTGTAGCAGGGGAACGTATCTATGAAACTATTAGGGATCTTCTAAAGAAGGTAAAGATTAGTTAGAGTTGTTTTAGAGGAATTAAGTATCTCTTTAGCATTTAACTAGCACTTAAAAATGTATTTATTTATATATATATTTTTTAAGAGACAGAGTCTCACAATGTTGCTCAGGCTGGCCTTGAACTCCCTCCTGGGCTCAAGTGACCCCCCTGCCCCAGCCTCCTGAATAGCTTGTGACTACAGGTGTGTGCATGCCATGGTGCCCAGCATAAAGCAGTTAAAAATTTTTACTATGAAAGGAATACATGTCTGTGGCAGTAAAAATTAGAACCCAATAAATCCATATTCATATATAGTTTCTGTAAGTCTTTAATAATGTATTCTAGGATTTTTTGTGAATATGCTACCATATTTTCAAAGGGAACTGTTTACAGTAGACTTCTGGGAAGCTGGTAGTGTTTTAAACTTTGATGGTTATGCTGACTACTTTGTTAATCATCTTGAGCACTTTATTAATATATGTATATTTCAGTTTTTAAAAATCAGTTTTAAAAATTGGATTGTCAGTTAATGTATAACCAATGGCAGAGGTACAGATTGGGTGTTTCTCTGGATGAGTGTGAAATAGCAAATGCTGAGGTGTCATGGATGAGTTCAATTTTCTTCCTTTTGGACTTTGTGTACATGAGGTGCTTTTAGGCCAATCATGCATAATCTGGAGACTTCAGCCCTGAACATGGCCTATAAGTCCTGTAGTTTTAAAACAGTTCCAATTTGTAGAGCATTTAACTTCTATATTTTTATTTTTAGTGTTTTTTTTTTTTAAGTGATGAAGCAGACATTTTATTAAGAATTTGGGGATTTGTACAACCCTTTGTGTACTTTGACCTTGTGCTTATGTATATAAAATATGCATAGGAACTATACTAAGTAATTTCACAAACTTAGTCTTGAAATTTAGTTTCTTAAAGTAATATTAAATAACTTCCATACATAAAATTATTGGATTTTAGGTATGTGGTTGTATATTTGCTGAACAAATACTGAGTATTTATTATGTACTAGGTACTTTGCTAGCTGATTCAGGTTTTTTCCTGCATCTGGTTGTTCTCTGGACAACTCTCCTTTTTTTTTTTTAATCGTTAAATATTTATGCCCTTGAGGGCTCTCTTCCCTTTATCCCATCTTGATATTGTCCCTGGTGGTATCACTTGCTTTGCTGACTTCATTTACATTCATGTATCAGTGAGCTACTTGCTTCAGTGAGGTAACTGCTCTATGGCTCCACATGATGAAAGTTGCCTAGGTACCAAAAATCAAAGTTCTTCGTGTGTTTTCATCCTTGTCATGGCATTATTATTCACCAGTTTCAGAATGTGGGCTGCATAGCTGAGGGGGAGCAAGTAACTAGAGGACTTTTTGTTTTTATTTTTCTTTCAGGAGGTAATAAAAACTTGAGCTTATTTAAGTGCTAATGTGTAGGATTTATTTAAAACAGAAAAGTTGAAGAGATAGAGTAAAGGAGTGATTGTTTGAGACAGTGGGATTTAGAGCATAGATTGGGCTTTGGTATATGATGAGAAGAATAATTCCATTATATAGAGAAGAAGAGGTGTGTCTGTTTTATATTTATACTTAGAATTTGGGATAATTCCTGGCTAATGGCTTTGACTGTGAAGTAGGAAACAAGTTCCTTTGATGAGATTGGCATGTGAAATCAAAGGAAACGTGTGAGGGGGAGACTTTTGGGGCTAGTACAGAGGCTTTAAAATAACTTATTTTTAAAGTACAATATTAAAATATCCCCATGTCACTTAAGAGTCTTTGTTGTTTACCTGTACTATAGGATGGTCTTTTAGGGTTTTGTAAACCTTTAGACTTTGTATATAAAAATTTATTTCTGTTTTTCAGACCATTTTCTTACTCTTTAAAAGGATTTTTGTTACACCCCAAATCAGTAAGCCTATTAGCCAAAGTCAGTGAAGAACAGATCTTTTAGAATTGTTCTGGCCAATGTTTTAGCCAGTAACGATATGTGGCAATTTAAATTTAATTAATATTAAATAAAATTAAATATTCAGTTTCTCACTAGTCATATTTCAAGTGCAGAGTAGCTCTATCTTTCTAATGACTACCATACTGAATAGCACAGGGCATTTCTGTCATCACAGAAAGTTCTGTTGAATAGTGATGCTTTAGAATGTGTGCTTTTGATTATTGGTTATATTTTATCAGATAAAGTTCATTACTAAAATATATGTATGGGAAGTAAAACTAAATCATTTACTTCAGAACATAACTTCTACACATAATAAATATTATTGAATTTTATTTTCACTTATTTTTTATTTGCTTTTAAACTTAATTTAAAAAAATTTTTAATTTTTTTTTTTAGCAGAAACAGTCCTGCTCCAGCTGTAACAGCAGCATCTGTGACCAACATACAGTCTATTGAAGTTTCTGTGCCACAAGTAAATTCCAGTGAAAGCTCAGGGGGTAAGGAGATTGGTTTGATAGACTTGATATTAATAATTCTTAAGGTATATTTGGTTTAGCCTTCCTTTTGAAAAATGAGTTTATTAAGTAGGTTTAATTCAGTTTTTTAAATGCCATTTTATTATTTGCATGGAAAGTTATTCATGAAATCAAATTGAGAGAAATAAAAAAACTTACAATTTGATGTTGTTGTAACTATTTTAATTTGAATGTATTCATATATTTGCTACTTAGGTACATCGAGTGAAAGCATTCCTCAAACTGCCACACAACCAGCCATTTCTCCACCACCAAAGCCTACAGTCTCCAGAGTTGTTTCTTCAATACGTCTGGTAAACCCACCACCTAGACCTTCAGGAAATGCAGCAGCAAAAATACCTAATCCTATAGTGGGAGTCAAAAGGACATCCTCACCTCATAAAGAAGAGAGTCCCAAGAAAACCAAAACAGAAGAGGTATATATATATATATTTATGTGTGTGTGTGTATACATAGATATTAAATATCTATCAATAGATTTGGCATCGATTGATAGATAGATAGAGATCATTTGCTTCTTTTGAACTGTCGGAGAGTTGCAGACATGACGTGCTTCACTATGGTACGCCAGTGTGTGTTTCTCCAGGAAAGTTCCCTCCAGAAACTTACATGGCTCGCTCTGCACGTGGCACAACCCGAACCTCCTTCAAGCGTTTGTTCAAGTGTCACCATCTCAAGGCAGCCTACCCCCTACCTCCTTTTAAAAATTTCAGCCCACCTCTCTATGCCCACCATTATCACTCTGGCTCCTTGTAACTCTCTTTACTTTTTTTCTTCTTCTACAGCACCTTTCGTTTCCTAAGATACTTCAGAATTTATAGATTAAACCTATATATTTGTTATGCTCCCTAAGGACAGGGATCTTTGATTTTTGGCTCACTGATATATCCCAAGTTCCTAAAACAGCACTTGGCACATAGTAGACGGTCCATAAATACTGACTGAATGAATGAATGAATGGAGCAACCCAAGGTCATAGCAAGTGAGTGGCAAAGTGCTTTCTTCAGATCTTGCCATGGGTCAGCCGCTGCTCTTAGAGCTCTTCTGTGACATCCTCCAGGCCACCTAGGCTTTCGATGGGCCCATCTGTGATGCTGCTTTATGTAGCCTCTCACCATTGTGGGTTTACCCAAGACAAAAATTACGAGATCTCAATTTTGCCATTGTTACCTTTGACTTCCCTTTTTCACTCCTTCCCCCATTCCCAAACCACTCTACCTTAATGTGCTTCTCCCACATAGCAACCATTCCTCCCTTGTGTGGCAAGAAGCAGGGCAAAGTGGTGCAAAGAGCACTGGACAGGGAGTCCTTAGAAAAGTCGCTTCCCTCTCTGGGTCTCGGTTCCCTCCTCTGTGACTCCCATGACCTTGAGACTTTTGGTGGCTCTGATACCATCTGCTGGTATCTTTACAGTTGCCCTAGGGAATGTGAGTTGAGCTTCAAGGCCTTTTCTCTGATAGCAGAATGTGTGGCTTGTTTTCCTCTGCAAAGAACCACAGGGAATAGATGAGAAAAGAGTTTTCAAGTCTGTGGTTGCTGCTTCCCTGCATCTTGGAGTTCGAGAATTCCAAGTATCTGGGTTTCCATCCAAAGCTGCCACCCCTAGCAGCTCTATGACCCTGGCGATCTACTTCAGCTTTCCAAGTCTCAGGTTTCTCCACTGTAAAATAGGTTTGGTAACATCTTCTTCAGAGGGCGATTGGGAAGAGTAAATAAAAAGATGCACAAAAAGCACTTTGCATATCACCTGGCACACAGAAAGTGTTCCAAAAATAGCATCTGTTATTAGCATCTTAGTTTGTTTTCTGTTGCTTATAACAGAATCCCTGAAACTGAGTCATTTATAAAGAAAAGGAATTTATTTCTTACAGTTATGGAGGCTGAGAGGTTCGAGGTCGAGAGGCTGCATCTGGTGAGGGCCTTCTCGCTGGCGGGGACTCTCTGCAGAGTCCCGAGGAGGTGCAGGGCATCACAAGGCGAAGATGCTGAGCTGCTAGCTCAGGGCTCTCTTCCTCTTCTTACAAAGCCACCAGCCCCACTCCCATGATAACCCACTAACCCATTAATCCATTAATGGATTGATCCATTCATGAGGGCAGAGGCCTCATGACCCAATCACCTCTCAAACGTCCTACCTCTCAACACTGCCACATTGGGGATTAGACTTCAACATGAGCTTTGGAGAGGACAAACATTTATTAGCATTGCAGCGTCTGAGCCCTGAGTGGGTTCCCAGTGCAACTGTGGACACGTGGGCAGGGGCACTTGTGGACTCCTCGCTGCACAGGTGTGGGCCTGAGCCCTGTTTGCAGTTATTGCTGAGCTGGTTTGGTGGGTGGTGTCTCTGGCTATTTCCTGATGTCTAGACAGAGTTCTCCCCACCCTCTGGCTGTCATCTTCCTATCTGGGAGGCTGAGCCTAGAAGTCTGAGTCACCGAAAGCACTTGAATGTCCCTGAGAAAGCCATCTGAGCCAGGACATAGAATGTTTTCTCCCTATGTGGCTAGTCTATTGAAATACGACATCAGTCATTTATTGCTACATAACAAATAACCCCAACATGTAGTGGCTTAAAACAAACATCTATTATCTCACACTGTGTCTGAGGGTCAGGAATCAGGAGGCGGTTTAGCCGGGTGGCCTGGCTCAGGGTCTCTCGTGAGTATGGTCAAGCAGTCAGCTAGGGCTGCAGACATCTGAAAGCTTTAACTGGGGCTAAAGGATCCGCTTGTAAACTGTAAGCTAACTCACATGGCTGTTGGCCAGAGGCTTCAGTTCTTTGCCACGTAGATTTTTCCAGAAGGATGCTCGATATAAGACCTCCTCCAGAATAAGTGATCCTAGACAAAGAGAGACCAAGACAGAACTGCAGTGTCTTTTATAACCTCATCTCGGAAGGGACACCCCATCACTTCTGCCGCAGTCTATGGACAAGCACGCCAACCTGATACAGTGTGGGGTGTCACACGAGAGGGGGCACACCAGGAGGCAGCAGTCTTCGGGGGCTATTTTGAATGCTGCCTGCCTCTGGTATAATTTATATATGATGAAATTCACAGATCTTGGGTGTATGGCTTGAGTGGTTTTAACAGTCAAATACTCTAATGTAACCGACGCTCCCACCAAGGTTTAGATTTGGAACATTTCCGTCACCTCAGAACATTCTCTCATGCCCCTTCCCAGTCAATGCCCCTCACCCCAAGCAACTACTGACCATATTTCTCTCTCTCTCTCTCTATATATATATATATATATAATCCACAGTTGAGAACAGAATGTGATAAAACTGGAATCATACAGTATGTG